GAATAGTTATAGATTTACAGGAAGTTGAAAAGAAATGTACAGGGAGGTCCTGTGCACCCTTCCTCTAGTGTTAGCTTCTTGCATAACCATAGCACAGTATCAAGAGCAGGAAATGGACATTTGTACTATCTACAGGGCTTCTTCAGATTTCTCACATGCACTTGTTTGTGTGTGTGTGTGTGTGTGTGTGTGTGTGTGCATGTATAGTTCTATTCAGTTCTGTCATATTGTAACCAACCAGTGGGTTCATTTTGCCTGCTGCTTAGATAGAGCTGATTTGTCAAGACGGGGAAATTGCAATAGAGTTTAATTGCAAGAGTTTTATACACATAGAGCTAGCTAAACGGGAGACTGGAATTTTATTATTACTCAAATGAGCCTCCCCAAAAATTTGGAGGCTAGGGATTTTCAAGGATTTTCAAGGATGGTTTTGTGCGCAGAGGGGTAAGAAAGAAGGAATACTAATTGGTAGGGGATGCAATCAAAGGGGTGTGGAAAATGGTCCTCATGTGCTGAGTTGGCTTTTGGGTGGGGCCACAGAGGAGTTGCCAGTCCAGGAGGAGCCATCCAGTCACTGGAATGCAAAAGCCTGAAAAGATATCTCAAAAGGCCAGTGTTAGGTTAGACAATAGTGATGTTAATTATGGGAGTATTTGGAGAAGTTGTAAATCTTGTGACCTCCAGAATAATGGCTTGTAATTATTTAGCTATCTTAGAAGAATTCAGGCCTCTCTTGTAATCTGGTGGCCTTTCATGAGTTTTACAAAAGAGGTTTAGTTTTGGGAAGGGGTATTATCATTTAAACTGTAAACTAAATTTCTCCCAGAGTTAGCTTGGCCCATGTCCAGGAATGAACAAGGGCAGTTTGAAGGTTAAAGGCAAGATAGAATTGGTTAGGTCAGATCTCTTTCACTGTGGTAATTTTCTCACTGTTATGAGTTTTGCAAAGGCAGTTGCAGTATGCATAGATTTGTGTATCTATTGCAGTCAAGCTACAGGCCCATTCCATCACAAAGGTCCTTCTGATTGCCCTCTTAGAGTCATAGCTTCTTCCCTCCCTCCCTTTCTCTACATCCTCTAGTAGTAGTTTCAGGGCACAAAACTACAAATCTGTGCTCTGTAACATTTTAAGAATGCTATATAAATAGAATCCTACTGTGTGTGACTTTTTTTTGAGTTTGGCTTTTTGCACTCAGCATAATTTCCTTGAGATTCATCCAAACTGTTGCATATATGAATAGCTTGTTCCTTTTTATTGCTAAGTAGTATTCCATGGTGCGACTACACCAGTTTGTTTAACCAGTCACCTGTTGAAGGATGTTTTGGTGGTTTCAAGTCTTCGAGTATTACCAATAAAGCTGCTGGGAACATTCATGTACAGGTTTTTAGTGGACATAAATTTTCCTTTTCTGGGATAAACACCCAAGAGCTCAATTACTGGGTCATATGGTAAGCACATGTTTAGTGTTTTAGGAAACTGCCAAACTATTTTCCAGAGTGTCTGTACCATTTTATATTCCCATCCTGCATATATCCTGCTTAATATCTTTCTTTTCACTTGTCATGTTTTGCTTTTTAATAAACTTGCTACTTTAAAATAATTTCACATTTAATAGCAAAGTTTCAAGAGTAGTACATAGAATATCCTTCACCAAGATTAACCAAATATCATTTTGCCACCTTTGCTGTAGCATTTCCTGACTCTTTCTCTGTCCCTTGCTATACCCACCACCTGTCTATCCATCTAGTTCTGTTTTTGAGTCGTTTGAAGGTAAGTTGCAAACAACAGGCCTTTTTACCACAAAATTCTTCATTGTGTATTTCTTAAGAACATTACCTTATATAACTACCATACGGTGATCAAAATTAGGAATTTTAACAAATATTATCTAATATACAAACACTTTTCAGATTTGATGCAACTTATAGCAATTCTTTTTCCTGGGATTCAATCCCAGATCACACATGGCATTCACTTATCATGTCTCTTCAGCCACTTTTAGCTTAGCACACTTCCTCAGCACCCTTTTTTTCTTTTGTGACACTAATGTTTTTAAAGATCACAGGCCAACACTTTGTAGGATGCCTCTCAATTTAGTTTTGGTTGATGTTTCATCATTACTAGACTCAGCCTGTGGATTTTGGGTGTGAGTGCCACTGAAGAGACGATGTTTCCCACTGGGGCGTCCTCACCGGAGGCGTAAGATAGCCATTTGTTCCTGTATTGGTGTCAACACTGATCACTTGATCAAGGTGAAATCTACCAGTTTTCTCCCTGTAAAGTGACTATTTCTCCCTTCACAATGAATAAGCATCTTGTGGGGAGATGTTGTGAGACTGAGCAAACACCTTGTTGCCCGTCAAACTTTCAGACTCTAGTTTTAGCATCCACTGATGATTTTTGCCACCAACAATTTTTATTATGATGGTTACAAATGTAACTTTCCTTTATTTTTAACTTACTATTTTTTAGAGATGAGATCTCACTCTGTCACCTAGGCTGGAGTGCAGTGGCGCTATCATAGCTCACTGCAGCCTTGAACTCCTGGGCTCAAGGGATCCTCCCGCCTCAGTCTTCGGAGTAGTTGGGACTACACGTGTGCACCACCACACCCCGCTAATTTTTGTATTTTTTTTTTTCTTGTAGAGATGAGATCTTGTTATGCTGCCCAGAATGGTCTCAAACTCCTTGCCTCAAGTGGTCCTCCTGCCTCAACCTGCCAAAGTGCTGGGATTCCAGGCATGAGCCACTGTGCCTGTCCACACATGTAATTTTCTGACTCCATCTTTCCCTCTGCATTTATTAGTTGACATCCTACAGCAGAGAAGTTTCCTCTTCTCAACCATCAGCCTATTGATCTATTGACCTAGATATCAATTTACTACCAGTATGAACTTATAAATTATTATTATTATTTTTTTTTTGAGACAGCTTACTCTATCACCCAGGTTGGACTGCAGTGGTGTGATCTCGGCTCACTGAAACCTCCGTCTTCTGGGCTCAAGCTATCCTCTCATCTCAGCCTCCTGAGTAGCTGGGACTATAGGTGCACGCCACCACATACGGCTAATTGTTGTATTTTTTGTAGAGATGGGTTTTTGCCATGTTGTCTAGGCTGGTCTTGAACTCCTGGACTCAAGTGATCCTCCCATGTCGGCCTTCCAAAGTGCTGGGATTACAGGAGTGAGCCTCCGCTCTCAGCCACATCACTTTTAATTTTGATGCTCAAGTTGTCTCACATTTGGCCAGTGGGAGTCACCTCAAGCTGCTTTCTGTGTCCCTTTGAGGTATTCCCATCATTCTTTGTGCATATCTTTACTTTTTGGCACAAAATGCTTCAGTGTCATCTTGTATTTTCCCTGTCTCAGCCCTGGAATCAGTCATTTCTCCAAGGAGCTCTGGCATCTTTTAGAGGAGAGAGGAATTTATAAACAACACACAGTACTGAGTGTGTCTGTGCTGTGGAGGGGTCCTAGCTTCCAAGCTAGGCTGGGTGAGGTGGTTCATGCCTGTAATCCCAGCACTTTGGGAGGCCGAGGTGGGTGGATCACCTGAGGTTGGGTATTCAAGATCAGTCTGGCCAACATGGTGAAACCCAGTCTCTACTAAAAATATATAAATTAGCCTGGTGCAGTGGCTCATGCCTGTAATACCAGCACTTTGGGAAGTTGAGCGGGCGGATCATGAGGTCAGGAGTTCGAGATCAGCCTGGCCAAAATGGTGAAACCCTGTCTCTACTAAAAATACAAAAATTAGCCAGATGTGGTGGTACACACCTATAGTCTTAGCTACTTGGAAGGCTGAGGCAGAAGAATCGCTTGAACCCAGGAGGCAGAAGTTGCAGTGAGCTGAGATCGTGCCACTGTACTCCAATCTGGGTGACAGAGTGAGACTCCGTCTCAAAAAAAAAAAAAAAAAAAAATTATCTGGGTGTGGTGGCAGGTGTCTGTAATCCCAGCTACCTGGGAGACTGAGATAATCGTTTGAACCCAGGAGGCAGAGGCTGCAGTGAGCTGAGATCATGCCATTATACTCCAGCCTGGGCAACACAGTGAGACTCCATTTCAAAAAAAAAAAGTCTCTGGATGGCTGGGCTAGATCCAAGGCAAGTCAGGAAATAACATCAGTGACTGACCAAGGGGCCGTGTCCCTTACTCTGCCACATCTGGGTGGCTTTCACCTTGGACCAACCTGGGCCCCCTTCACCAAGACCATGGGGGACTGTTAAATAGGAAGCAGCTGAACATCTGTTGTCTCCCTCCATCCCTCAGCAAGCCCCTTACCAGGCTGGGCTCCTAATGGACAGGTCAAGAGTCCTGAGTCATGATTGTGAGTCTGCAACAATAAAAATTTAATACAGACTTCATAGAACACTTTTTAATTTACAAAGTGCTTTCAATTACATTATCGAATTTAATCAGTTATCAATGAGGATTTTAAAAAAGTGTTAAGAAACGCAACAAATATAACAAAAGACACAGACAGGCACGGGAAGGCCCCCAAATGATGCTGCTCCTGTTGCAGAGGGCGTGATCAGAGAAGAGGCGGAGGCCTGCAGGGGAGTAGGCCCATGCATGCTGGGCCATCTGGGCAGGGCACTGGACTTGACAGAGGGATTGGGCAGACTCACCGACCCATATACCCCTCTCCCCCTGCCCGCCACAGACCCCAACTGATACAGTGCCAGGAACTGGAGCTCCTCTGAGAAGCATCCTCTGCAACTCTGACAGAAGCCTCCCTCCGAAGCTTTAAGTGCCTTTAAGTGTTCTGGGAAGACTGTACCGCTTTGTGATGCAGAAATCTGTGAGTAATTGGAAGTCTGTGCCACTGGTGATTTATCTTCAAAGACCTCATTTAAAATTGTGCATGGCAATGGACACGATTGCGAAATTGACATGGCCTGGGCTTGTGTCTCACTTGGCCTGACATTTTCCAACCCCTTTATAGATCGGATCCGTATTCCATTACTTTCAGATAAGCAGTTCCTGCTTGGCTGTCGAGGTGGATACTAGTTAGTAAGCCGCCCTGGATTACACTAGCATTTTCACTGGAGTGTTCCACGTCATTCTCTGAAGAAAACATGAGATCAGGGGAAGATTCTCCAGCAGTACTGTTGGGTAGATTATTTTGAGCAAGAGACTCTTTGGGGTCTTTCCAGACACTCAGAATGAGGTTGCTGAGTCCAGTCACGTCTGCCTGGGCACGTCCTTAGGTTTCAAGGTAAAAGGCTTGGAGAGGGCGGAGGTGGATCACAGAGCAGCTCTCTGGTCAGCCCCGAGGTGGGCTTCAGGGAGAAGGGATCAGGCTGCAGTGACCACGGAATGGAACCCCCTCCATTCTGCAGCCCAGGTGTGGGTGAACAAACATGTGTTCAGCTCATGGCGCGGGCTGACATCCTGGGTCTGGAGTGCAGCCTGTGATCTGTGAGTGACCACGGCACCAGCCAGGGCAGCTGCTGGACAATGGGGGGTGCCAGCAGTTGGACTTGAGGGCTTTGAGGACCTCCACCATTCATGCAGGATCGGTTCTTTCCAGGCTCCTCCCAGCTGCTCTACCAGGGTCTAATGACTTTCCTGTCAGTTAAGGCATTTTACGTTATCTCCTGGTGAACAAAGTGTCATCAGGGGACAGCCTAGGGGATGGGGAGAGTCCAGGGGCTGAGTAAAGACAGGCTTTGGTGGAGTTGTGGCCTTGGAAACGCTTATCATTCTCAACCCTCCTATCATTGTAGATTCATCTGTGAAATGAGGGGATTTCAGGTCATTCCCACATATTTAACACACAGTGATTTCTGGGAGGGTTCCTAAGCCAAGGTCCATGGACCGTGGATGGTTTCAAGGCACCCATGAACCCCCTGAGCCTACATGTGCTCATCTCTGTATGCTCATATCTGCACAGGGCTCGGTGACAATGATGCTGGCAGAGCATTCTAGGGAGGTACCATTCTCATTCTTCAAATGAATGAACTCACATCCAGTCCTCACCTCAGCCCTCAGGGGCACAGAGAGGGAAAGTGATTTGCCCGAGGTCACACAGTGGGCACTGGGGCTCTGTTCCCCAAGCTTTTGTCCACTTTACTACTTGTGGGTGAGCAATGGTCTTTCCATTTTTTTTTTTCTTGTGTCTGATAAAAACCTTCTCTTTTCACCTGAGGAGATGCTATAAAGACTAACAAGGTGTTTTAAGGTTAAATTCCTCTTCTGATTTAAATCACCAGTGCTGACTTCATCACTAATAATTAAACCATCAATACTGATTAAAGTCATTGGTAATAAGTTAATTGTAATACATCAATTGCAACAAATCAATAATGATTTAAATCATTAATAATGAAACTTTATTAAGAGCTATGGGAAAATTGGTACATGAAAAGCAGTATATATGCATGACTTTCACACAATTCTTTTTTCACAGTAGGTGACTGATCTCAGACAACCACTATTTTTACAGATTCCTGTAATTTTCAATTAATGTCCTGTGAAAACCAGTCTATTGTATTCTTCACAAAGATGGTTAAAGATATTCCCAGGTCTTGCATTGGCAGATTCATTTTTCTGTAGTGAAAATATATTAGCCTGTGGTCTGCTGTTACCCAAGCATGCATCTATAACAAAAATAAGTAAATAAAAAAAAGGAGACATAAAAGATTACTCATTACTCATAAAATGTTTTTCTGTAAACACCCAACATGGGACAATTACTTCATTACAGTCAAGCCTGACAGCCTCTCTTAGCTTTATGTTTTGATGTGTTTATTCTGGAGGCAGTTTGACTTCCTCGTTACTAGTTTGGATGCCCTTTATTTCTTTCTTTTGTCTAATTGCTCTGGCTAGGACCTCGAGTGCTATGCTGAATAGAAGTGGTGAGAGTGGACATCCTTGTCTTGTTCCAGCTCTCAGGGGGAAGGAATGCTTTCAACCAAAAGCCAGTTTTGACTTTTTTGAAGATGAAATGTTACAATAGCAATGTCAGTTGTTCTGATTAATATGATGTAATGATTTATCGAACCCTTAGTCCTCACTTTTTTTTTTCCAATTGAAAATAAATCTGAACGGGGACTTTATAATTTCCCATTTGCCTTTGATTCCTAGCATTGGCGTCTGCCATGGAGGGCTCACTATATGAAACTGGGGCAAATCTGAGAATTACGGGTTTACACCACACAATCAGCATCAGAAATACCTGTGCAGATCAGCAGTGCTGTATCACCAAGGAGAAGAATGTGAGCTCCCTCTTCTGTTTTCATTTCGCTCTCTCCCTTTTTCCTTTTAGACCAGTGTTGACTAGGGGGATGCGGCTGGCCAGGTCTGCAGGGAAGCGCAGACTCCTAGCGGGTGACCAGACCTGACAGGGCCTGCTTCTCCTCTGAAGGAGCTCTGTCTCTGCACTGCCTTGTTCTTTCTTTACTATCTTCCCCGTGCTGGGGGATGTAGGAGGCAATCTAAGAAGTGCTAATTATTATGTAAGAGGGTCTTGTCACTGTTAATGAGAAAGACCCTCTGCTTGCCCATCTCCCCTCTTCTTCCTTCCCTCTCTCCCTCTCTTCCTTTAATCTTTCCTTCCTCCACTTATCAAGCTTCTATGAAATGGCCCTAGGATTCCCGCAGCCGGCACACAGGTTCCGAGGATGCGTACAGACCAGTCGGGCTGACAGACATGAAAACATATCAGTGTGATGGAGCATAACGGAACCTACAAGAGACTAAAGGTACATGAGGGGATTCAGTGGGGGCTCACAGAGTGGACATTCCCCTATGGCAGGGGCAGGGGTCTGGAAGGTAGGAAAAGTAGGAGGGACATGTGGGAGCCCCAGACTATGTTTCTCCCTCCCAGATGAGGATGATTGTACTATACCTGTGCCAAGGTGGGCATTACATTAAAAAAAAATTTCCACAGGTTATTGGGGTTCAGGTGGTATTTGGTTACATGAGTAAGTTATTTAGTGGTGATTTGTGAGATTATGGTGCACCCAACACCTGAGCAGTATATGTTGCACCCTACTCATAGTCTTTTATCCCTCACCCTCCTCCCACCCTTCTCCCCAAGTCCCCAAAGTCCATTGTATCATTCTTACGCCTTTGTGTTCTCATAGCTCAGCTCCCACTTATCAGTGAGAACATATGATATTTGTTTTTCCATTCCTGAGTTACTTCACTTAAAATAGTCTCCAATCTCATCCAGGTCGCTGCAAATGCTGTTAATTCATTCCTTTTTATGTCTGAGTAGTATTCCGTTGTATATATATACCACAGTTTCTTTATCCAGTCATCGATTGATGGGCATGTGGATTGGTTCCACAATTTTGCAATTGCAAATTGTGCTGGTATAAACATGCATATGCAAGTATCTTTCTTGTATAATGATTTCTTTTCCTCTGGGTAGATACCCAGCAGTGGGATTGCTGAATCAAACGGTAGTTCTACTTTTAGTTCTTTAAGGAATCTCCACACTGTTTTCCATAGTGGCTGTGCTAGTTTACATTGGCATCAGCAGTGTGGAAGTGTTCCCTGATCACTGCATCCACGCCAACATCTACTGTTTTTTGATTTTCTGATTATGGCCATTCTTGCAGGAGTAAGGTGGTATCACATTGTGGTTTTGATTTGCATTTTCCTGATCATTAGTGATGTTGAGCATTTTTTTTCACATGTTTGTTGGCCATTTGTATGTCTTCTTTTGAGAATTGTCTATTCATGTCCTTAGCCCACTTTTTGATGGGATTGTTTGTTTTTTTCTTACTGATTTGTTTGAATTCATTGTAGATTCTGGATATTAGTCCTTTGTCAGATGTATAGATTGTGAAGATTTTCTCCCACTCTGTGAGTTGTCTGTTTACTCTGCTGACTGTTCCTTTTGTTGTGCAAAAGCTCTTTAGTTTAATTAAGTCCCTGCTATTTATCTTTGTTTTTATTGCATTTGCTTTTGGGTTCTTGGTCATGAAATCCTTGCCTAAGCCAATGTCTAGAAGGGTTTTTCCAATGTTATCTTTTAGAATTTTTACAGTTTCAGGTCTTAGATTTAAATCTTTGATCCATCTTTAGTTCATTTTTGTATAAGGTGAGAGACGAGGATCCAGTTTCATTCTCCTACACGTGACTTGCCAATTATCCCAGTGCCATTTGTTGAATAGGGTGTCCTTTCCCCACTTCATGTTTTTGTTTGCTTTGTCAAAGATCAGTTGGCTGTAAGTATTTGGGTTTATTTCTGGGTTCTCTATTCTAGTCCATTGGTCTATGTGCCTATTTTTATACCAGTACCATGCTGTTTTGGTGAGTACGGCCATGAGTATAGTTTGAAATCAGGTAGTGTGATGCCTCCATATTTGTTCTTTTTGCTTAGTCTTGCTTTGGCTATGGAGGCTCTTTTATGGTTCCATATGAATTTTAGAATTGCTTTTTCTAATTCTGTGAAGAATGATGGTGGTATTTTGAAGGGGATTGCGTTGAATTTGTAGATTGCTTTTGGCAGTGTGGTCATTTTTACAATATTGATTCTACCCATCCATGAGCATGGGATGTGTTTCCATTTGTTTGTGTCATCTACAATTTCTTTCAGCAGTGTTTTGTAGTTTTCCTTGTAGAGATCTTTCGATTCCTTTGTTAGGTATATTCCTAGGTGTTTTATATTTTTTTGCAGCTATTGTAAAAGGAGTTGAGTTCTTGATTTTTTTCTCTGCTTGTTCGCTGTTGTTGTATAGAAGAGCTACTGATTTGTAGACATTAATCTTGTATCCAGAAACTTTGCTGAATTCTTTTATCAGTTCTAGGAGCTTTTCGGAGGAGGCTTCAGGGTTTTTGAGGTAAATGATCATATTGTCAGCAAACAGTGACAGTCTGACTTCTTCTTTGCCAATTTGGCTGCCCTTTATTTCTTTAGCTTGTCATATTGCTCTGGCTAGGTTTCCAGTACTATGTTGAAGAGGAGTAGTAAGAGTGGGCATCCTTGTCATGTTCCAGTTCTCAGAAGGAATGCTTTCAACTTTTCCCCTTTCAGTATTATGTTTGCTGTGGGTTTGTCATAGATGACTTTTATTACATTCAGTTATGTCCCTTGTAGGCCAATTTTGCTGAGAGTTTTTTTTATTTTTGAGACGGAGTTTCACTCTTGTTGCCCAGGCTAGAGTGCAATGGTGCGATCTCGGCTCACCACAACCTCTGCCTCCCAGATTCAAGCAATTCTCCTGCCTCAGCCTTCCGAGTAGCTGGGATTACAGGCATGCACCACCATGCCCGGCTAATTTTGTATTTTTAGTAGAGACAAGGTTTCTCCATGTTGAGGCTGGTCTCGAACTCCTGACCTCAGGTGATCCACCTTCCTCGGCCTCCCAAAGTGCTGGGATTACAGGCGTGAGCCATTGTGCCCGGCTGAGAGTTTTAATCATAAAGAGAGGCTGGGTTTTTTCTAATGCTTTTTCTTCATATATGGAGGTGATCACTGATTTTTAAAAAATTCTGTTTATGTCATGTATCACATTTATTGACATGCATATGTTAAACCACCCCTGCATCCCTGGTATGAAACCCACTTGATCATGGTGGATTACCTTTTTGACATGTTGTTGGATTCGGTTAGCTAATATTGTGTTAAGGATGTTAGCATCTATGTTCATCAGGGATATCGGTCTGTAGTTTTCTTTTTTGGTTATGTCCTTTCCTGGTTTTGGTATTAGGGTCATGATGGCTTCATAGAATAAATTAGGGAGGGCTCCTTCTTTCTTTATCTTGTGGAATAGTATCAAAAAGATTAATAAGATTAGTACCAATTCTTCTTTAAATGTGTGGTAGAATTCTGCTGTGAATCCATCTGGTCCTGGACTTTTTATTGTTGGTAATTTTTAAATTACCATTTCAATCTTGCTGCTTGTTATTGGTCTGTTCAGGGTATCTAATTCTTCATGATTTAAGCCAGGAGGGTTGCATTTTTCCAGGAATTTATCCATCTCTTCTAGGTTTTCTAATTTATGTATGTAAAGGTGTTCATAGTAGCCTTGAATGATCTTTTGTATTTCAGTGGTGCCAGTTGTAATATCTCCCTTTTCATTTCTTAATGAGGTTATTTGAAATTTCTCTCTTCTTTTTTTGGTTAATCTTGCTAACGGTCTATCAATTTTATCTTTTAAAAAAACCAGCTTTTTTTTTGGCCGGACGCAGTGGCTCAAGCCTGTAATCCCAGCACTTTGGGAAGCCGAGACAGGTGGATCACGAGGTCAGGAGATCGAGACCATCCTGGCTAACACGATGAAACCCCATCTCTACTAAAAAATACAAAAAAAAAACTAGCCGGGCGAGTTGGTGGGCGCCTGTAGTCCCAGCTACTTGGGAGGCTGAGGCAGGAGAATAGCGTAAACCCGGGAGGCGGAGCTTGCAGTGAGCTGAGATCTGGCCACTGCACTCCAGCCTGGGTGACAGAGTGAGACTCCATCTCAAAAAACAAACAAACAAACAAAAAACCCCCCCAGCTTTTTGTTTCATTTATCTTTTGTGGGTTTTTTGTTGTTGTTGTTGTTGTTTCAATTTCATTTAGTTCTGCTCTGATCTTGGTTATTTCATTTATTCTGCTGGGTTTGGGTTTGGTTTGTTCTTATTTCTCTAGTTCCTTGAGGTGTGACCTTAGATGTCAGTTTGTGGTCTTTCAGTCTTTTTGATACAGGCATTTAGGGCTATGAACTTTCCTCTTAGCACGGCCTTTGCTGTATCCCAGAGGTTTTGGTAGGTTGTGTCATAATTGTTCAGTTCAAAGAAATTTTAAATTTCCATCTTGCTTTCCTTTTTGACCCAATGATCATTCAGGAGCAGGTTACTTAATTTCCATGTATTTCCATGGTTTTGAAGTTTCCTTTTGGAGTTATTTCCAGTTTTATTCTACTGTGGTCTGAGAGAGTGCTTGATATAATTTCAATTTTCTTAAATTTATTGAGACTCATTTTGTGGCCTATCATATGGTGTATCTTAGAGAAAGTTCCATATGCTGTTGAATAGAATGTGTATTCTGCAGTTGTTGGATGAAATGTTCTGTATATATCTGCTAAGTCCATTTGTTCCAAAGTATAGTTGAAATCCATTGTTTCTTTGTTGAGTTTCTGTCTTGATGACCTGTCTAGTGCTCTCAGTGGAGTACTGAAGTCCCCTGCTATTATTGTGTTGCTGTCTATCTCATTTCCTAGGTCTTTTAGTAATTGTTTTATAAATTGGGGTTCTCCAGTGTTAGGTGCATATATATTTAGGATTGTGATATTTTCCTGTTGGACAAGGCCTTTTACCATTATATAATGACTCTCTTTGTTTTAACTGCTGTTGCTTTAAAGTTTGTTTTGTCTGATAGAAGAATAGCTACCCCTGCTTGCTTTTGGCGTCCGTTTGCACGAAATGCCTTTTTCCATCCCTTTAAGTTTATGTGAGTCCTTATGTGCTAGGTGAGTCTCCTGAAAGCAGCAGATAGTTGGTGGGTGATTTTTTTTATCCATTCTCCAGTTCTGTATCTTTTAAGAGGAGCATTTAGGCCATTTACATTCAATGTTAGTATTGAGATGTGAGGTACTATTCTGTTCATTGTGCTATTTGTTGCCCGTGTGCCTTGGTTTTTTTGTTTTTTGTTTTTGCTTTATAAATTGTATGTTTGTTTTATAGGTCCTGTGTGATTTATGCTTTATAGAGGTTTTGTTTTGATGTGTTTCCAGGATTTGTTTCAAGATTTAGAGCTCATTTTTAACAGTTCTTGTAGTGGTGACTTGGTAGTGGCAAATTCTCTCAGCATTTGTTTGTCTGAAAAAGACTGTATCTTTCCTTCATATATGTACTTAGTTTTGCTGGATACAAAATGCTTGGCTGATAATTGTTTTGTTTGAAGAGGCTGAAGAAAGGGCCCCAATCTTTTCTAGCTTGCAGGATTTCTCCTGAGAAATCTGCTGTTAATCTGATAGGTTTTCCTTTATAGGTTACCTAGTGCTTCTGTCTGACAGCTCTTAAGATTCTTTCCTTCGTCTTAACTTTGGATAACCTAATGACAATGTGCCTAGGCGAGGAGCTTTTTGTGATGAATTTCCCAGGTGTTCTTTGTGTTTCTTGTATTTGGATGTGCAATCTCTAGTAAGGCCAGGAAGTTTTCCTCAATTATTCCCCCCAAATATGTTTTTCAAACTTTTAGATTTTTCTTCCTCCTCAGGGACACCGATTATTCTTAGGTTTGGTCATTTAACATAATCTCAGACTTCTTGGAGGCTTTGTTCATATTTTCCTGTTTTTTGTTTGTTTGTTTGTTTGTTTGTTTGTTTTTGTCTGTGTTGGATTGGGTTAATTTGAAGACCTTGTCTTTGAGCTCTGAATTTCCTTCTTCCACTTGTTCAATTCTGTTGCTGAGAATTTCAGAGCATTTTGCATTTCTACATCTAATGTTTCCTGAAATTTTGATTGTTTTTTCTTTATGTTATCTATTTCCTTGAATATTTCTCCCTTTACTTCTTGTATCCTTTTTGGATTTTCTTGCATTGGGCTTCACCTTTTTCTGGTGCCTCCCTGATTTGCTTGATAACAAACATCATGAATTCTTTTTCAGGTAAATCAGGGATTTCTTTTTGATTTGGATCCATTGCTGGTGAGCTAGTATGATTTTTTAGGGTTGCTAAAGAGCCTGTTTTGTCATATTACCAGAGTTGGTTTTCTGGTTCCTTCTCATTTGGATAGGCTCTGTCAGAGGGAAGGTCTAGGGCTGAAGCCTGTTGTTCAGATCCTTTTGTCCCATGGGGTGTTTCCTTGATGTAGTACTCTCCTCCTTTTCCTATGGATGTGGCTTTCTGAGAGCCAAGATGCAGTGATTGTTATCTCTCTTCTGGGTCTAGCAACCCAGCAAGTCTACCAGGCTCCGGCTGATACTGGGGGTTGTCTGCACAGAGTCCTGTGATGTGAACCGTCTATGGGTCTCTCAGCCATGGATACTAGCACAGTATTTGAGGTGTCTCCCAGGTCCTGCAGGAGCAGTCCACTTCCTTGAGAGGGTCTGTGGGTCCTCTCGGGATTGCCGGTTTGTTTTTGCACTCGTTCTGGAGCTAAAATTCACAATGTGAGCCTCTGCATGCTGCTCTGTCCATCTGAGTTGGAGCTGCAATCTCAGCACTACATTTTAAGGCTCATAACTACTTTGTAAGGCCTATTGACATCCATGCCAGTTTTTAAAATGTGGGCTGCCTTTGCTGTGCTCCTTGAACAGCCTGTGAGGTTGTCAGCCCTGGGGTGCCAGTAGCAGCCCAGGATGCTTTCCCATTGTGTGTTGTGGGCTGCCTGTGATTAAATGGGGGTTCAAATCCATTAGCTCCTGACTTCTCAACCACACTCGCCAGGTTGGTAAAGCTTCTTCTATCTTCAAGTCTTCTCACGGGTTGTTTCTCCTTCCTCTGTCTGGTCCTTAGGTGCTCATCAGGGCTGACCCTTAGCTCTTTCCTTTCCTTAGCAAAGAGTCATAGAGGGTTCATCCCTGAGCTGCTGAGCCCTGCCCTTGGCTCTAGTGCTGCCTTCCCCAGGGCCTCCCCTCCATTCCTCCTGCTGGCCCCTTTAATGAAATTTGGTAGTCTCTTTTTAATCAAGGAGTGCACATGCATAGTTGACAAAATCTGCACAATTGACTACTCTCCAATGTTGGTAGAATCAATGTAGAGCCAACTGGTTTTGTCAGCTGTAGAAATGTTTAAAAGTGAAGGTTTTACAAAACAATAGCTCCAAGACAAAACAGTGAGCTCACAGGTAACTGCATTCTTCCTGTTTGCTCATATAAGGCACCTGAAAACTCCCCACTGGCTGGTAGAGTTTGGAGTGATCGTGTCCCTGCTCCCCCATTTATAGAGGGGACAGACATGGACTGTCACCCATGCTCTGGGGGCACTACAGATGGGAGATGTTCTTGCAGAAAAGTATGAATAGTCAGACTCCCTGGGTTCTCCCCACGCAACCTGTTTTTCTTGTTTTGTTTTTTTGTTGTTTTAAGACTTTGCTGAGGCCAGAGAGGAGCCCTACCAGAGAATGTTGACAAATGGGAGTAATGCATGGCCCTTGATTAAGGTCTAAGCTAAGAAAGAAGTGGTTAAACATTAACTGTTGCATGATTATTGCAACAGCTAAGTCCTGAGGTGACCTGTGAAATGGCACATATAGTTTCATAAAATAATTCACAGTTGACCCTTGAACAATGTATGTTTGAACGGCACGAATCCACTTACATACGAATTTTCTTTCATCTCCAGCACCCCTGAGACAGCAAGGCCAACCCCTCCTCTTCCTTCTCCTCCTTGGCCTACTCAACATGAAGACGATGAGGATGAAGACCTTTATGATGACCCACTTCCACTGTATCAATAGTAAATATATTTTCTCTTCCTTATGATTTTTTTAATACTCTTTTCTGTAGTTTATTTCAAGAACATAATATATAATACACATGGCATACAAAATATGTGTTAATTGACTATGTTATTGGTAAGGCTTCTAGTTAACAGTAGGCTATTAGCAGTTAAGTTTTGGGGGAATCCAAAGTTATACATGGACTTTCAACTAAGTGAGGGGTCAGTTCAGCTAATCCCTGTGTTGCTCAGGAGTCAGCTGTGGGGTGGAAGAATAATTGTGGAGCACAGAAGTTGTGATCAGAGAAGCTGAATATTCACTGTTATGGAAGCAGCATGGCACAGGCAGTGTACATGTGAGAACGCCGTGGGGGCACTCCCTGGGGGTGGATTAGAGCATATTGGCTGCTCCTGGCTTAGTGTCTCTCACTGGGACTCACCCTTGACTGATAGGAACTGCTGAGGCCAAGGAGGTGCTTCCTCCCAGGGAAGATTCTAATGCTGTAGGGGTACAAAGGTTCAGCTCAGGTGATCCACAGGGGCATATTTTGGTACCCCTGCCCAATTTGAGCTTGAGAAGGGCATGAGGATCAGGGGTTTAGACCCTCTAGGGATGAAGGTTTGGTCACCCCCACCAGGCAATCCGCATACAACAGCAGAGGCGCTAGCTCAGGGCAAGGGGAGGCAGAATGGGTACAGGAGGGAGATGAACCTCAGTTCTCTGTTGTGCTGTGAGATCAGCTGCAGGAGAGGGGACTGTAGTCTACCCACCAATCTTCTGTTAAAGTTCACCCAGGAAAGCCGACCATTCAGAATCCCGAAGGAAATGGAACCAGCAGCATGAGCAGTGGACTGTGATGAGATCTACCTTTCCCCAGAGGCTGGAGGTGTTGGGTGTGAACTGTCCTCATCTCAAAGGAGTCCACTTACCCAAGGCCACACGCCCTCCCGGGGGCAGCTTGTGCTCCATGACCGATTGATGTCGGGGGTAGAAAGACCTGGCTTCTTGCTTCAGCTGGGGACAACTCTGAAGGGCCACCCCAGCTCCAGAACTCCCCATGGCTCCAGAGCTCCCCATCGCACCCAGCAATGCAGGTGAGGTGTCTACTGACTGCAGCATCGGTGTCACCTCTCCCTGGCTGGCAAGGGCTGTGCCCAGGGCGCTCAAGAAACCCCTCTGGGACACGAGTCTCTTCGGAAAGACGATGAGGATGAAGACCTTTATGATGACCCACTTCCACTGTATGGAGAGTAAATATATTTTCTCTTCCTTATGATTCTCTTAATACTCTTTTCTGTAGTTTACTTTATTTCAAGAATATAACATATAATACATATGGCATACAAAATATGTGTCATCTCAGACACATTCCAAAGCAACTGCTTCTACCAGCGTTGCGTTTCCTCTAATTTACTCTTTTTTTATTTTATTTTTTGAGATGAAGTCTTGCTCTGTGGCCCAGGCTGGAGTGCAGGGGTGGGATCTCGGCTCACTGCAACCTCTGCCTCCCAGGTTCAAGTGATTCTCCTGCCTCAGCCTCCCGAGTGGCTGGGATTACAGGTGCACATCACCATACTCAGCTAATTTTTGTATCCTTTTTTAGTGGAGATGGGGTTTCACTATGTTGGCCAGGCTGGTCTCAACACTCCTGACCTCAGGTGATCCATCCATCTCAGCCTTTTCCCAAAGTGCTGGGATTACAGGCGTGAGCCACCATGCTTGGCCTCTAATTTTCTTTTATTTACTGATGTCACCATAGTACAACCCTGTCATAATTTTCATTGAAATAGAAACATGTATTCTGCATCTAGCCACTCATCTCAAAGGTTTTTTCCCCTTATCATTTCATAGTTGTCCCAGGATAACTCCTCCTTTGCCCATGAAAGCACCCATGAACTTTACTTGGATTATTTGTAACCTCACAAATTCATACTAAGTTTTGCCTTTATTTACAAAAACTTAACTCCCCAATTATGAAATTAATTACATGCTATTTAGTTTAAAAAAATAAAATGTAAAATTACCCATAATTATTCTATTCAGAACTGACTGCTTTAATATTTTTATGTTTCCTACCTTTTAAGAATTCTAGTTGAGACCATACTATATTCTCCCTTTAACACCTGACATAGTATCTTCAGTATTTCTCCAGAGCATTAAAAATCCTTTCTAAAGATGATTTTTTAAAGGTGATGTAATATTCCATGGTGGAGGCTGAGCTCTTATAAGTAAACCATTCTCTGATGTCAGGCCTTTAAAACAGCACCATTGGCTGGGCATGGTGGCTCATGGCTGTAATCACAGCACTTTGGGAGGCTGAGGTAGGCGGATCACTTGAGGTCAGGAGTTTGAGACCAGCCTGGCTAATATGGTGAAACTCCATCTCTACTAAAAATACAAATATTAGCCAGGTGTGGTGGCAGGTGCCTGTAGTCCCAGCTACTTGGGAGACTGAGGCGGGAGAATGGCGTGAACCCAGGAGGCGGAGCTTGCAGTGAGCCAAGATCGCACCACTGCACTCCAGCCTGTGCAACAGAGTGAGACTCTGTCAAAAAAAAAAAAAAAAAACAAAAACCAAAAACTAAAAAACCAGCACCAGTGTTTTGAATGAACCAGGGGGAGTCCACCCACAGGGAATGCCCTCCACCCCCAGAACGTGGACCCACACATGTCTATGGGTCCCACAAGGGGACCAGTACTTTCAGGACTCTGTAGGCCAGCTGAAGGTAGAATCTAGAGTCTCGCGTATCCCCCCAGAGAACCATTTCCCAACATGTACCTCTGCTTCATAATTTTAGATGGCTTGCAGGTGAACATTACTATTTTTTAATTTCAAGACTTGTGTAAATTATCTGGGACTTCACAAATGCTATTCCTTTGGCCAAGTAGAAAGCATTTTTTAAAATGAGTTGATAGCCACTAAGTACATGAAAAAAAAATCCTCATCTCTAATAATTAGGGAGATGCAAATCCAAACCATAATGAGATACCACTTCACACTCATCAGGATAACTAATATGAAAACAAAACAAAACAAAACAAAGTAGGTGCCAGGCAAGGATGTAGAGAAACTAGAACCCTTGTGCATTGCTGGTGGGAATGCAAAATGTCACAAAATTGAGACTTGGTATTACCATATTATTCAGCAATTCCACTTCTGAGTATGTACACAAAAGAAAGCAGGGACTCAAAACAGGTATTTGTACACCAGTGTTCACAGTAGCATGATTCACAGTAATCAAAGGTGGAAACAACTCAAATGTCCATCAATGGATGAATGTGGTACACACATACAATGAAATATATTCAGCATCAAAAAAAAAGAAAGTTTGACACACGCTGCAACGTGGATGAACCTTGAAGACAGGATGCTGAGTGAAATAAGCCAGCCACAAAAGGACAAATAGCGTACAACTCCCCCTACTGGAGGTATCCAGAACAGTCAAATTCAGAGACAAAGTTAAGAGTGGTTACCAGGGTCCTGGGGAAGGGCAAAGGGAAGTTAATGTTTAATAGGTAGAATTTCAGCTTAGGATGATGAAAAAGTTTTGGAAATAGATGGTGGTGACAGTTGCACAACAATACAAATGGACTTAAATGCTACTGAACTTACAAATGGTTAAAATGGTAAATGTTATGTATATTTTACCACAATAAAAATAAGTTGATATAAAGAAAAAAATTAGCAGATGATGTGGCTTAAATCAAGAACCCATCTCTATAAAAAATAAGCAAAATTAGCTGGTCGTGGTGGTGTGCTCCTGTGGTCCCAGCTACTTGGGAGACTGAGGTGGCAGGAGCGCTTGAGCTCAGGCGGTCAAGGCTGCAGTGAGCTGCTGTGAATGCACCACTGCAGTCCAGCCTGGGGGACAGCATGAAACCCTGTCTCAGAAAAAAAGTAAATTATATTTCTGGCCCCAAAAATGTTTTAAAATCCTCTGTGGTAAATATGCAGGTAAAAAGAGAAGAAAATATGACATTTATTGAGAACCTATTTTGTATAAATGTTTTAACTATTTAACTATTTTATGTCACTTAGTTCTAATACTGTGATGTAGGCACTAATCCAGATTCAGATCAGGAAGCTGGGTCCAACTGTCAGTAAGTGGCCAGACCACCTTCCAAACCCAGCCTGTCCACCTCCTGATTTTGTGCTTTCTGGTACACCTCACTGCTTCCTGCTTATCCCATTTCACTTTCTTTCCACTGGACACTGTAAAAAATTTCACCTATTTGGAAGTTTGCATCTGCAGGAAATTAATTAGGAAAAACACAAATTATGGACCAAGTGGTACCTAAATAATAGAAGCAAATCTTGTCCTTCACAGAAGAACACACACGTCAAAGCCAGAAACAGAACTGAGCACTCACCTGGGACTCGGCTCTTCTGGTTTCCTCAGTTTTGAGCCAGATATAGTTGCCATATTCCGTATGAAATCAGTAAAAAAATCAGTACAAATCAATAAGGTGAAAGGGTTCTGTGACCAGTCATGGTGGGGGACGGGGAGGGGGTTGCCAGGGACTTTGAGGACCCTGGAAAACAGATACAACACATCCTCACCATGGTACTTTGGAAAATGCAGAAGGGCACAGAGAGCAAAAACCTACCACCATAAAGCACCTCATCACCTAGAAAGAACCAGTTCACATTTAGGTCAATATAGTTTCCATTTTTACTGCGCATACACATATATACAATGTATTTTAAAAATGGGTTTTACAATATGTAGTTTGATCACTTGGTTTACAACTAAATATACTGTGAACATTTTCTCTTCTACAATAGTTAAAAGAATTGCACAGCTTGGAGGAAACATAATTTATTAAGCAATGTTTTTGGGGACATTGAGGTATAATTTTTTTTCTAAGGAGACTTCATTCTTTTTACAATGCCTTTGGGGAAAAAAACGGGAGTCCTTGTCTTATATAGCTTTCTGTAGAT